CGAAATTTCATTCAGCGAAAATAAGCAATTGTTGATATACGTGTGGATGTTTCTTATCTAAATATTGAGCAGAAATCATCAGTATAGAAAATGCCTAAATTGCTCTCAACGAAAACCTTATACGAAACAAGAAACGAAACTTCCCAAGTACAATATTATCTTATTCTTTATAATTAAAAGTCAACAAGAAGAAAATGAAACAACAGACCACAGCTCACACCCTCTGCGTTACGTGATTGTGATTGTTCAAAAAAATCGAGACACGAAGTGGAAGAACAATGAAATGCGCCCGACACAATGCATTTGCTGCAATTCCTGACCAGCCATTCGAACAGCAACCACCGGACTATGAAGATATAAAATGATTTAATACATTCCGTACGGGTGATTAAATTAATTCGACGTGATTTAGTGTGAGATGTTGGTTGGGTAAATGTACTAAAAGGCGATACGTCGGCGAATGCGAACGTGTTTATCAAAATTAAGCTGTATAGTTTGCTAAGTTGGTAACATTAACAATATTTGATATTTATGCCAGTACATGTATGATAATTAATTTAAAATAATTTTCTGTAAAGTAAAGTTTTGTGAAACGTTGCTTGAATCAATTATGTTAATTAGTAGACATACCTTATATTTTGATTATATTAATATTAATTAATTGATTGTTTCTAAATTTGTAGTAACTTTTTAACAACTTTCTTGCAGTTTTACGCTGCGACAGCCAGAGGCGTTCTTTAACAATACACAAGCTAAGGAAAACTTTAAGCTTTTAGTGTAGCTACGTATATTCAGCAGGTTTATGCTCCTAAATAAACTTCAAATTTCAAACTCTAAACCCGCTCTCATTGAAAGTTTATTACGAGGTACAGCTAGACTATTCGACGAACTTACCTAGCGCTAAAAAATTATAGATATTAATTAATTAACCGCTTATTGCGAAAATAAATAAAAGTTTGTGTCGGGTAATTCGATTTCGAAGGAACTTATCCGAAATTTCTCCGGATCCAGCGACACACCGATCGAAAACGAATTAACGTCTGGGAATGTTTATAGAGGGTATTTACTGCGGCATTCTAAACACATACTGAATTTTAATCGACTCTAAAAGCGATAGAAAATTTATTCTATTCTGTGTTTATCCGCTTGCGAGCTTCCTTAGGGAATAGTTCGAGAGTCGGAAAACCCCGATAAAACTAAAACACAGAAAGAAAAACGGCTACAATTGCCTTTTATCTGCCCTAAATTAAGTGAAACGGTTACAATGAGAAATAATATGGGTACTATTTTGAGATAAAACACCACATACGCCTTTTAAACACTGAATTTAAACTTTAAACACCTGTATAAGTATTCCAAATGCATCAGTTGTCACAAAAATAAATAGAATAACAACTTATTTAGAACTTTTGTGGTGTTGTTTGTATTACAAATACACACAAATTAAGCTTTCTAAAAAAGCTCTTGATTGCCTCCTGAGAAAATGTACATTAAAATAGATCGATATCGCTAAGGGGTCGACAACCCTGGGCGGTTATTACAATACAGAAAGTCTGAAACGAAACACTGCGTTGCGATCAATCTTATTCCGCAATTCTCTTTTCCGCGTCAGGCAAATTACGGCTTGGTATGGGACTTACTGTGACACGATTTTATTTGCACTGTAACGCCTCGCGTGCTCGACGAAATAACGGAAACAAAATGAAATTTAATTAGAGCCGCGTTGATATTTTTCTAGCCCTCAAAAAGGCGGCTGTTTTGCGCTACAAAGTCGAGAATGAGTGATATTATAGACAAGAAGTCGCTTTAAAAATTGTCCGTGAGGTGTTTGTAAAATTAATTAAGTAAAAATTGTACTAAAATAGATGTAATGAAATGTGTAATGTATTTTTTACGAGTAAATAATAAAATAATATCCCTGGAGTGTATACGTGAACGTAGGTAAAGGGATTTAAAATTAATTCGGTAAGGTCAAAGTAAGCAGCAGGTACTAAAGAGCTGGATTAATTTCGGAAATTTTACGTAGGGAGTTTTAAGAGTGCATTAAGACCCTAAACCTCATTTGCGGTTTTTGGGGTTTAAGAGGGCAGCGAAATTCTGACCGGATTTAAAACGTATAATAGAAAGGTTGAAGTCGGCGCATATAGGCTAGATTTAGCGAACCATAAAACGTTTATAATTAAGGATACGCGTAAACTTTTCATGCGAAAAGCGAATTTTAAACTGATTTCGAGAAAGCCCTTAATTTAGGTATGCGCATGATAGAACGTACATATGCGGTCAGACTGTTTACCCTAATAATGCTTCAATAACATACGAGAAATTTTGTAGATTTTTAAACCAAATTATTATAATTATTTTTTCAAAAAAACAATCGGTCTGCTTTTATATCAGTAATTTGTAATTAAGTTTCCTTTACAAGAAATGGTCGCCAGTTATTGCTAAATATTTGGTATATTTTCAATTTAATGCCACCTTTATGGCGAATACATATGCCAAATTTTATTATAAATATAATTAGAACTGTATAAATGAGTATTGTATAGTATTCTTTTTCAATTATTAACTCTAAAAAAGTTTTTAAAAAACACTGTTAAATGGGTTTAGGTGTTAATTTACTAAATTAAGTATTACATAATTCATATTAAGATGCAAATTCTGATTAAATGGTTCATTTTTTCCATTTTCAAAGGGTAACTTTTAATGAAAAATTAATTATAAAAACAAGAGTTCAAATTTGTTCTTTAAAAAATTTCTCTATGAAAATGTAAGAAGTTATTAACCCCTCCAACCGTAATTAACCCAGGCAACTTCATGGACATTTTTTGTAATTTTCTTAAATAACAGGTACAAATTTGCACTTTCTATAAAATTATTATAGAATATTGAAGGATATAATTCAACTTCTTTCAAAGGGAGTATTACTTAATATTATTCATACCAAAATATACGTTTTTTGAGTAATGAACATTATCTTTCGAGTTCTCACTTTGGATAATTAGCTCTTATTAAAACACCCTGTCTAAGAGTTTACTCTCCAAAGCTCGTAAAAGGGGCAAGCTCTCCCTTTCAGCCCCTAAACTAAAAGCAGCGATTGTCTCGTTACATCATTTAGTTACGTCTAGCTATAATACTCCAATTATAATAAAATTCTCCCGACAATAAAATCTCAACGAAAGCCGTAATTCATGAAACTTGTCTGGAATTCGTGATCGCGTAATCAAAAACGATGATGATAAGGCAAGTCAAAACAACGAGCTCGGCGTGTACATAGAACAAATTGAATAGACTTGAAATGCCAGCGAATTTATATATTTCCAGAAACGACGCTTTCTTGCTAATCCCACAATATGTTTGCGAAGGATAAATATTTAGAGGAAGGATAATGTTTCGGTAATGAAGAGGTCACCGGTTGGGTATATCTACAGCACGTGAAGTTTCTCATTAAATTGCGAAATCAATGTATTCATGAAATTGGGAAATTTTGAAAAGTTCATGCATGTAATTTTAGGAGTGTTGTATTTTTGTCTCACTGCGAACAGATTATATACGGACGACTAGAACAGAGATAAAACCAGACATATTCCATGTTAGTCGGCCTGTGTGTAGGCGCGCGTGGCTGAAATTTATTGCACGTATGGGCGTGACCGCTACACAGGAATGTTGTCCCTACGAGGCACGACAATTAACAGAAAGTTCGCTTTGTCCTGCGACGGTCTGAAAAATAAATAGAAAATTAATCCTCTCCCATCGTCGTCGACTTTTGATTTACATATCGCGATTAAATGAACTGGTTTGCGACTGGTTCTTTTCAAGCATATTCACTCTGCGACTAATTGTAACAAAATTTAATTAGTGCAACCTACAAATTGAGCCATTATCCCGGCTCTAGGTAAATGTAGTGGGTTTACTCGCGAAAACAATTTGATTAGTACATGATTCGTAAAAGGTCAAAGTTGATTATAGAGATTGATGATTGTTAGGATGCATGAAAATGCTGACCTAACCCAATCAACACAATTACTTCGAGTAGACTGTTGTACTTTCACTCTTTGTGAAAAAATTCGTTAACTTTATACCTATTTCACTCTATAAATAAACATGTCTCGTCACGTATTTTATTGTCGCGTCAGTCGCAATCACGGCTCAACGTTCACATTACAGGAGTTTCGGATACCCACTTTTCTCGACTTTGCAGTTGTCGCTCGTCAAAAAAATACACCCTTCAACGGAATATATTTTGTACATTACAGAAAATGGAAGCGGAATAAACAGATGCGAGAAAAAACCTTGTTACGTCGAAATCCGCGATTTAGCGAGCATGTTTTATTATTTCGAATAAATCTCGAGTTTCGCATTCCCGCCGCGCGAACCGGCGGATTTTTCTGCGGCCGTGACGTCTCCGAGGGACCCTAACTTTTTTCGGCGATGCGAAAAAATCGAGAAACGAGTTCGAGGCTCTTTCGACTCGGGTAATTCAACTTTCCCGGGTGGACGCTGGAAAAATTTAGTTAGTAAATCATCGGCTGGAATTAACGTGCTCGATTATCTCGCGAGTGCCAGTTCAAGAGGAAATCTTCAGCGTCTTCGAGCGCTTCTGCTGGAATAAACCTAAAAGCTCCTTCAGATGATTCCTTAGAGAATAAAATGGTGAAATTACTGTACCAAAACTCTTCTACTGTAGTCAATAAACATATTTATTAATTATTCACTCGTAATTATTGATCCAATATACCGCTTAATTTGAATGTTTGCTCTCATCAGGGTTGACAATCAACCCTTAATCGTCCACTTTCCGTTTGTAATCGAATCATCCCACTTCTCTCCGCAATCGGCCCACTTGCGTTTTAGATGTTTCCCTTTCGCTTATCCTCTTGCATCGCAATTGAAGCCCATTGTTTTTAGCACGACACCACACTCGTTCTACCTACTCCATAATTAACCGTACGTGCGACATTCGTTGCATTCGTTCTATTATTTATCATCGTTGTTGTTCGCAGGGTCTGGGTCTGCAGGAGAACGCAGGAGCGGGCTCGACCGGCGGCGGGGCGGTGTCTCACTTCGAACCGCAGGTAGCCATGCTGTGCGATTCGGGGATGCACGGACAAGAAGCCTACCACCCCAAGTACATGACCGAGCAGGGTGAGTGGGTCTCGGACCTCTATTCCAAGGCGACCTGCTACAAGGACAAGATGGACATTCTCAATTACTGCAAAAAGGTAAGGAACTAGAAGACCCTTGTCGGTCCTTTCCTGCTCCAGTTAATTAGCTGGGTATTGATTAAAAATAATCTAAAAAGACGGGAGGATGTTTATTTTTATTAAGTTCGAACGGCGACGCATTAAAAGATCTCCTTGCAACTTCCCTTATCTTATACTCGTAGCCTTCTGGGACGTACGCTGGTAGGGGGCGTCGGAGAATCGAGTAGTGTTCCCTCGGGATATTCGCAGCTTAAAGGGGATTACGTAGTTTTAAGGGAATACCTCGTCGAGAATCGGGCGTCTGTAAAGGTACGCCGCCGGTAGGGAATAGCCAAATTGCTCTAGTACGTATTAATTCTGCAGGAATACATTTCGCGTGCTAAGCGCAAAAAGCGCTCGATTCAAACAGGTTCTATTTTTTTGTAACCGCAAAATGGTTGTCGATTAATAAAGTGTGGTTTAATTATTTACTTCGCGATTAACTAATTTAATTTCAAGCACCTATACAAGAAGATTGAATTTAATTATGCGAAAACAATTAATTTAGTCCTCCGCCGATTTTGACAAGCAATTAAAAGTAAAGTATAACTATATTTATGCTTGGTAATTAATCGCTAATTTAATTCGAATAAATTATTTCGTCCCGTTCGCGTTTCTTCCTTTAATTTCAATTAAACATCCTTAATTTTATTTTTAATGGAATGGACTTATCTACAGAAGGCAGCCTTTTCTCAACTTCGATTCGCATTGACAAACATTTAAAGCAGAATTAAATTTTCATGTAGGAAGTCGGCATTTAAATGAGATTCTACTTTGGAATTTCATTAATTTAGAGAATGGTGTTTTAATTATTGCTCGCTTTTCGATATAGAAATTCTGTTATTTTGTATTGAATTAAAGCTGATAATTCTCTCGTTTTGCTCATTTCCATTCGAGATCTACAAGTAACAAAGAAGCACAATGTTATTAAATGATGATAAATTAGATTCACATTGCGAATTAATTGATAAATAGGTGCATTAAAAACGACTTCCTTGATGCCCTTTAGAGGTTATTTAAAAATAAATTTAGATCGACTTTAATGAACTTACCTTATTTTCGGTTTTCGAGGGGAAAATAAATCCTGCGCCTTTTAAAACGTTTATCTCGTTTCGTTTTTTCCTCCCTTTCGGTCGGCATAAAGCACAAATTTCATAATAGGCGTTTTACCGAATTTAACAAACGTGAAAACTTTCCGGTTCAGCCATAATGATTGGCCGCCGTGTGGAAAATTGAGATTCAAATTGCAGAATAATTAGATCGGGTCTTCGCGAATCGGCATTTTCCCGGAGCGAGTCGATTTTCCCCTTTTTAAGTTTCGTTGCCGTTCGCAGACACTGAACGCAATTACCCCGCTTCGAATCTATTACCCTAAGTCGCTCAGTGTTATCCCACTTTATTCCAGGGATAAAGAGCAGAAGAATAGCAGTGTCGACATAAGTTGAAGAATAACGAAGGATTAGAAAAAATTATAATATGTATAATTGTATTTTTTTTTGCGTAAAGTATGCTCTAAATTTTATTGCATATCTCGCGTTAGATGCAAGTGCAATTTCATGAGTGGTTAAATTTCGATTCGTTTTCTCTCCTCTCCCTCGCGAGGCGGAAAATTTTCCCGAACGATTTCTCTTCGTTTTTTAAGCAACAAACGATATTTCCTTCCTGACAGGATGACTTAAGCGAGGAAATTAAATTCTTATTTTCGCTTTGGCGTTCGATTGAACATCAATTTCCACCTCGGGATTTTAAGAGTTGCTAAACTAGCATCACCTATCGTATCGGTTTAAATCCGGAATTATTTCCTTCTCGCGTTTCGAACGGGGATCATCCGGTATCGCAGGCAGGTATAGATAAATCGCGAGTACGGCTCTGCGAGCTCCCCTCGCTACTCTAATCTACGAACAAGCGTAAGTTCTATCCGTTTTTCCTGAATTATGCGAGGAAATGAAATTTCATCTAATGCACTTCAGTTTGTCCGCAACCCCGAAATTACCTCCTAACGAAATTTATTGCAGCAGTTAACCGCGCTGCACTCGACGAACTTGGATGCGAGGCCATGATTATAAAATTGAGCGACGTAATTAAAATAAATAATGCAATTTCGCCCTACGAAAGGCGCATTTTAATATTAACAGGAGTTTCTTAAGAGATTGTTACACGAGTTATTGCGCGCTATTGTTTTATTATAACCTCATTATTGGCTTAAAATAAGGTAACAGAACTGGTATTAGCAATGTAAACTATTTTATATAACGCAGGTAGTATGGAAATTAGCGGGGACTTTTAATCAAATCTGTATTATAAGGCGCCTTATATGTAATTTGAGGACGATACTGTGTGTGGGATAAAACATAGTGGCGGTCACATCTATCTTTAGGATTGGATTAATGGAGAAATATACCGTACCGCAAAGTTGGTTTCTGAAAGTTTTAACTAACTTCATTAATATTCCGCAAAGTTCCTTTTTGCTGCCTGGAAACGTAATCCGTGGGACCCAATTAAAAAAGGGTGTTGTGGAAATAACGTCAACAACAAAATAGAAAAAAAAAACGTTATCGCTTCCATTGAAGTTTTTCTTCGCCTTCTATACGTTAAAAGTTTTTTTACTTACTTATTTATTTTCGTGAAACTTTAAACTGCACTTTTATTCATTTTTCACGAAATATGTAAGTAGCAGAACAGCTCGTTTTGTCTCGGAATTTCCCTGAAAGAAAAATTTATCGCAATTTCGATTCGAAGGAAGATTAATAAACGTAAAATTTTTCATCGTTCATTCGGAGCAAAATTAAGATGTTCGAGAGTTTCCTCGTCAAAGGATAAAGCAAAGGCTCATTAACAAAACATCAGCGACGCGTCTGAACAAAAATTAACAAGGCGAATTAACAACAACGAACTTTTAATAAATCCTCTTCGTTTTATGTTCACCTGGAATGAAAAACTCAAATGAAAGACTTAAAAGTTGGAGGAGAAGTTTTCCGTTTACATAATGCTATTAGGTGGCTAAATAGGGTGTTTCATTAATAATTAAGATCTTATTTTAATATCGCCCTAATTTATACTCCTTAAGAAGAAAATTATTCGCAGTAAGTCAAAATTGGTAAATCGATTAACTTTAAAAATAAATCTTGTACGAGGGAATTAATGCTACAATATGTGCTGGCATTTTATATAAATGGTTGCACGGGAAATTCGCGATAAAACGAATTTAATGTGTTTCTAGTCATGTTTTATCCACTTCTGTCGCCGTTTATTTTTGGGGTGATAGATTGGATAGGGAAATAGATCGATTCTATTTTAAGTGGCGAGTTTCCGGTGTTTTCAGCTACTTCAAATAAATAACGTTGCGCGAATATTTACTCACTGACACACTCGACAATTGCAAAAAATGTTAACCTATTTAAAAACAACTTTATTACTTTCAAACTTTTATTAGATGACGATAAAAAAATTAATCTTTTACGAGCTCCTCGCGATAGCTCCTAAGTGGCCAGCTCTCCGGAATTTCCAACTAGCAGCTTGCGACTATGTTTTAAATGCCCCAGCTAATAGGCTCCGAGGATGTCGCAAATTCAATTAACTTGAGGAATTGTATCAAACGCAATTATCTCCGTCCTTCTTTCGAGCCGCTCCGGCAATTTCGCCGACTTATAATGGCGCCGAAAACGCTCCATTGTTGAGGGAAAACAACCGCACGGGAAACGTCTCGTACGGCGAACAGGTGATTTATGGAATTTATTTTTCTGACGCCTCGTTTTTACGGCGCGTCAACCACCGCGTGGAAAAATAAATCGCGGGAATGGCCCGGACGCCACCGGCAGTAAAAGCTGCGAAAGCTGCCGAACGATTATTGTATTATCGATAAAATAACCATTCCTGACAGTCCAACTGGGTTAGATTTTTTTTTGCTTCCTGCAGCATCGCTATACACTCGAGTACTGTTAAAGTAGGATTGCATTGTACCTAATGATTGTATGCAACAAAAAAATGTACCATTATTATATGTTTAACCTTTTCTACATAAATGTATTGCAAGTAAAAGGGCCACTTACAAGGATGTCAAGCACTCTCGACTGATGTAGTAGATTACATCCTGCTGGATGCTCTCTTTCCCTCTAATGCTCCGATTACTCCTCTTCCTCTAATACCTTAATCACTTAACTCCCTTTTACATATGTGCTAAGTTTCTCTTGACAGTTTGAATACTTTACAACTATGTAAATGCATCTTCGTACAATTTCCGAAACTCTCGAGAACTAACTATCAGGGAAGGACGTCAACACATTCCCTAAAATTGTTTTACTTATACAATAGGTAATTCGTAAAGTGCAAATTGCACTTCCTGCATTGTTGTTTTCGATTAATTGTATGGATACTTTTTTATCACTTCTTAATGTGGATAGCTTAAAGACCCGTTTTCAATTAATTTAATTAATTTATTAGAACGAGAACGTGGAGTTCAATTCGGGCTTAAGAAATCGGAAGCAATAGCTCAGCTCGTCGCGTTAATTTAAATTAAATTGAATTAAATTATCCCTTGTAACTGTCAAGCTCAAAACTGCAAAGTTTCCTCGACCCTTAATTACTTCGTCGAATGTACTATAGAATATGTCGAACGTTTCCCCAACATCTTGACGTACTATCGCAGGAAGAAGCGAAACTACATGAAGGTTTGAAATTTATACAACCGTGGGTGTACGGTGGGTGGAATCATAGATCCTATTTAACAGGTCTGCATTACGAATATGAAACAGGCAACTGGTTACAGCAGGATTACTTTAAATAATTGTAATAAACTGTCTTGTCAGTTTTATGATATAATTGAGAAATTAATGAAATGAATTTAAATAACAGGTCTGTAATACAAGTATATAAAAGGCAACTAGTTCCACCAGAATTTTTTAAACCACTCAAAATTTATAATTGTACTGACATTTTTCTGGTATAACTGTGGAATGTCTTCATATTTTAGATAGATACAAGTATGATGCAAGAATTTGCCTACTGAAAATCTTTTTTAATAACATCCTGCATTGTAATGAGACGAATGTAATAAATCCTTAAAACGCCCTGAAGTTATTTTCCGCTTGGCGCGGATAAGGCAGAAATCGCTGATATCTCGGCATTTATAGTAGCTGCATATGTAAGTGCATGGCAAATTCTGCTGATAGCAAAGCGGCTTTGCTATATTTATCTTCCTGTTTTATTACGAACCGGTCGAGTCGCGACAGCTCTGCGAAGCTGACTCGAGAACCTCGACCTAATTTTTTTTCTACCAAATAAATATCAAAAGCAAATGCGAAGCGTTATTAAACGTACTTATATGTGCGGCTATAACTGAAGATTATGGGCTATTTTGAGTTTGATGTCGTTCGGATATCAAGGTTAATTCGTGTAGAGATTAGAGCACATTTCAAGTGCTTTTTAGGGCTCATCAAATGATAAATTTTTGTAGAAGATTTTGTGTATAGATTGCGATGTAGTAATTAAAAAACGAGTGCCCACGCAAAAAACGAAACAAAATTTCATCTCGAAAAGAACTTTCCTAATAAAATTCGTCTCTACACTTCGTTGCCTCCTAATAAAATGACACCGGAATCTTTTAAACGCCCTTACGCTGTTGCCGGATCGATACACTGCGTTACATTCGGCACTGTGTGTAAAGTCTCATATCCGGGAAAACGTCAACTTCGTTCGCGTCGTGAGTTCCAGTGCAGCTCCTGAACAAACACAATCTAGACTAGAACAAACAATCAAAAATCGAGAACGGACTATCCGTAAATATAACGTTGTTATAGCCCGAGATGTAAACGCTGAAAAATTGAATTGCATTGGAAACGCTCCAGAGGAGAAGTTTCCTTCCTAGTCATTTGCTGTCATAAAATACTGAATCAGAAAATAAAATGCTTGATTTACTTAACTTTGGAAGCAGAAAATAATGCATAGAAATCAGAAATACCTAGTAAATACTAATATAAAAATCAAAATTGTTATCGATGGTGTTAGAAATAAATGTAATAAAATCGAACATCTTGGCAAAAACTGTATAAGTTTGAATAAAGCGACATATTCAAGGCTCCGATATTTCTACATTCAGCATTTCTATTATTTCGTAACGTCTTTTCGGTGCGACTCCTCTCAAAAATTGCATCCCTGCGACATTCTTTCATCGCTCTGCACACATCCTGCTTTCAGAAAGGCGAGGTGGAATTGGAATTTCCCAAATTCGATGCCCACGACAACGCGCTCTCGGAAATTCTCTCCCGAATGATTTCTTGTCAGATGCGAAATCTATTGAGTTGGCCGCTTTAAATTCTGCATGTGCATCTGCGTTGTGTATGTAATATGTATTATAATTTCGGATGCAAAATTACAACGTTCGAACATCAGCTGGAGGGAAGGGCTGGATGCGGTTTTAATACAAATGCAACAGCACATAAATAATATCCAGAAAATAAGTTCCGGGATTTTAATCCCATTTTTGCGGCGAAGGCTTCGGATTAAATTGCATTTTTGTATTTTGTTGTAGGTTTATCCGAAGAGGGATATAACAAACATCGTAGAAAGCAGTCATTATTTGAAAATAGGCGCTTGGTGTCGAGCTGGCTCCGCTCCAGGGTCTCAAACAAGAGGAAAATGTAAAACTGCAAGATGGGTTAAGCCGTTCAGATGTTTAGGTAAGCAAATGCAATCTCCGATCCTACACAAGTACAATTACACGAAAAAATGCTTTTAAAACTAGAGAGTAAAATTGAAAGACTTGACGTTTTTAATGGATCAGTGAGCACAAATGCAACGTAAAGTATATTCAGCTTACGTGGAGTGGCTTAGTTTTATTGAAACCCAGTCGTATGTTTCGCGAGAGCGTATGTATCATCTTTCTGAGGGGTTGATGGCGACAAAATGACCGTGAGTGGAAACGGAGAGATAAAGGATTAAGTTCAGAAGTAGCGGTTAGAGCGGGCGTTCTAAACTCCATTCGACAGTTTATAGAGCTCTAACTGGGTAACAATATATCTGGAAGAGAACTTGCAAGTTGCCCGTAATCAATAACTAACCAGTCGTCTCTTCCATTAGTTAAGCGGTTTCCTGTCGACGAAAGTCGCCCCGCTATCGTTCACTGAATTCCTCGAGTGGTTCACATTCAATTGCAATTTTCCACTTGGACGTGTAATGACAATCGATAGCAAATTTAATTATGGGATCTGTACGTAATTAAAAAGTTCGTTGTCTTGTAGAAGGACCGTTCCAATCCGATGCTCTGCTGGTGCCAGAGAGCTGCATGTTCGACCACATCCACAACCAGAGCAACTGTTGGACCTTCGGCCGTTGGAACGCCACCGCAGGGAACGCTTGCCAAGAAAAGGGATTCCAGTTAAGATCGTTCGCCATGTTATTACCATGCGGAATATCCCTATTCAGCGGCGTAGAATTCGTCTGTTGTCCGAAACATCTTAAAGGTTAGTAACAGTAGTCAATTGTATGTAAAGAAGATTCATTAAGAGTGCCTCTTCCTATTCTATCCTGTCAACGCAAACAACGCCGAAGGTTGGGTTATTAATGTACTAGTCTGGAATTATAATACCTTCGCTATCAATTGTACGGCACTCGCAGCTTTGTCGGATGACCCTTGTATTTAATCTACTAATTCATTTCAGACAGTTGAATAATTCGAATAACCAACCCTTATTGATGAACAATATCGAACAGATACAATATCAAGAAGACATTATTAGTTTTCCTTTCTATTAGGCCGCGTATGAATCATCGGGCGCCTGGATTGTTCGCGGTCTCTCTATAAATACCATCTCTATGCCCATCGAAACGCGAATTCGCTGGATTGGAATACACGATCACTGGGCGTTTTGATTGATTTACGTCATTAGGATGGAAGCGTCCGTCTCTTTCTCCCTTTCTGTCGCCCTTTCGCTTCGATAATCATATCAATCTTGTGTGGGATATTTATTAGAATTCCGATTTTATTGGAAAGTTTAACCGAGTTTCGGGTAACTAAATCGCTAATGCGATTAGTTCGCTGTTTGTACAACTGATGCGAAAACATCCGCAAATCCTAATTATATTGTATGTTTACTAGGAAAATAACTTACTCTCACGCGGAATTTAATCGTATTCATTCAACATGTTTGTTTGATTGCGAATTGGAATCCATTGTCCTTAAGTTAACGCGGATTTTCTATGTTATTCCAGACAATTTGAAGCCGAAGAAGCCGGTCGATCTCTCGATTCTGAAGAAAGAAGACGTCTTCGATAATGTAGCTGACGATGACTATACCGATGAGGAATCCGACGAAGAAATCGACAAAGACGATCTCGAGGATCTTGCCGATGAAACCGAGCTCTCCGACGATCCCAGCATAGACGATGACGATGAGGATATCTACGATGATGACGTCGATTGGGACACGACACCTTCGAGTACAACCGTAGGTTATGCACCCACATCACCATCAACAACTCCCAGTACTACTACCACTACTGAAAGAACTACTACCATGGCCACGCCGGATCCTTACTTCACTCATTTCGATCCCAGAAACGAGCACGAAAGCTACAAGGAAGCACAGGTATTCATCTACAACTGAACATATTGCTCAATTACTAATATCGTTTTATCGCCAGGAGAGACTCGAAGAGACGCACCGTGAGAAGGTCACCAGAGTCATGAAGGACTGGTCGGATTTGGAGGAGAGGTACCAGGACATGCGGCAATCTGACCCCAGAGCGGCCGACGAATTCAAGCAGAGGATGACCCAAAGGTTCCAACAAACCGTTCAAGCCCTGGAGGAAGAAGGAGACGCCGAGAAGCACCAGCTGGCTGCTATGCACCAACAGAGAGTCCTGGCGCACATCAATCAGAGGAAAAAAGAGGCGATGGCTTGTTACACGCAGGCTTTGAACGACGTTCCTCCAAACGTAAATTTTAATAATGAATTTTAGCTATCTTGTGTACTAATAAAATTTAATTGCAGACCCACCGCGTCCAGAAATGTTTGCAGAAACTGCTTAGATCCCTGCACAAAGACAGAGCTCACGCCATCAGCCACTACCGCCATTTGCTGGCCAATAGTATAGAAGCTGCTGCTCGCGAGCAACCCAGAACTTTGGAACGTCTAACTGATATCGACAGGACTGTAAACCAAAGCATGCAAATGCTCCAAAGGTAACACGCCCCAAATGTCCCACAAAGGATACTTTAACTGTAAAGTATCGATAAAGGATGTCGATTTTATAATTACAACTTCACTTCTAAACATAATTCCTTTCCTTTCTCTAGTAAAATTTGAATTCTTTTTATTCTTCGGAGTTTTCATCTTTCTCATCATCTTCAGTTAGAGATTTTTAATATTTGTTTTGTAGGTATCCTGATTTGGCTGCTAAAATTGGACAACTGATGGACGATTACATTCAAGCTCTCCGTTCGAAGGACGAAACTCCGGGATCTCTATTAGCTATGACATCGGACGCCGAGCAAGCCATATTGGACCAATACAAATCCGAAGTGGCTACCAAACAGGCCGAACGAGTCAGGCAGAGGATCCAAGAGAAGGAGCGAAAGGAGCAGAGGAAAAAGGAGAAAACCGAACTGAAAGAGGAGAAGAAGCGAGTCGAAGAAGCACTGGGCAAGAAAATCACCAACTTCGACGACGAGGATATGGAAGATGAATCTTTACCGGAAGAAAAAACATCCGTAAGTAGAAATTACGATCTAGTTAAGGTTATCGGTAAAAATGTTATTATTTTTCAGACCACCTCCCAACCGACACCCGGCATCACCTTCGCCGAAATCATGAGCAATTCGATAACGGCCACCTCCGAGCACCGCGACGTCGACGACGCCGCCGTCCAGGAGGCTGTCGAGCAAGTAGCCAAGGCGGCTTCCCACCGACAGGACGTCATCAGAGTAGCTCACGTCATGAACCACGAGATCAGCCACAGTGAACCGGTAAATATAATTTTATCGTCGACTCCAGCATCATCTTCTTCGAGCTTTTGGATCCCATAATTCCTTTTACGGTTTTGGAGCCGCTTAGGGTTGATGTTTGTCGTTTCTTTCAGTCGTATTCGCTGAGAGGAGAGATGTTCCCGCGCAAGGACGGCAAGAGCGTGTACTTCACCTTGGCGTTCGCCGGCATGGCCCTGATGGCGGCCATCGTCGTCGGCGTCGCCGTCGCCCGGCGCAAAACCTCCCGATCGCCGCAGAGCCAAGGGTTCGTCGAAGTCGATCAGGCGGCAACGCCCGAGGAACGGCACGTGGCCAACATGCAAATCAACGGCTACGAGAATCCCACATACAAATACTTTGAAGTCAAAGAATAGATTGGCGTCGCGCGGTTCTCCTTTTATCCTTTCGTTTCTGTTCGTTAGATGATGAATAGCTCGGTTTTCGCGCCTGGCAGCACATTATTTATGATGTTCCGGGTTGAAAGTAGGTCGGGTTATCTTTCAATCGGTTTGCGTTAATTCCTTATGCATCGATTACGATGATTAATTTTACCACCGTATTATTATTTACTTATAAAGCTTAACCATCTTTTTCGATTCTAATTCCTACGAATTCCATCCTCCAAATTTACACCTACTTAAAGCAAATAATTTGTTAACATAATCCATCATTCCCCAATCTGCAAGCCGATTGTAAGTATAGCAATTGATCGTTTTGTTAAGTTTGATATTAATTTCGTTCTTGTATCGATCGGAACCGGTTCCTTACCGTCCGAGTTCTGCGCATTGAGTAGCTTTTATACGCGGAATCCTGGCAAGTCAGGAGTCTGCGCACCATCTTCGCACTAGTAAATCGAACGCGTTTCCGATTCCTGCAAGGACACACACTATTTTGTTTTCGAATGCTACTGGGATCCTAATCATTCCATTTATTGTATGTTAATTGTACTTAAGTAACAACTCGATAATAATTCGACGTATGCAAAATGAGATGAACAAATATTTTGAACAAGAAAATAATAAAAAAAAGAACTAGGAAAATGATACTTAATAATTTTTGCATATGACAGTCCAATGTTTGAACGTATTCGTTTATATAGCGAGGTAAATCGGAGGCGATACCCTGCAAAAGGAAATTAGATAAATTGGTAGAATTAGTAATTAAATAGGTTAATAGAAAACATATTGTGTTAGTCTATTTAATTGCTAACTTCCGAGAAATAGCGATATTAGATAGGAATAAAACCAGGTGTATCGCCTTAGATGCTCTATTAGTTACTAGATGTATATGGTACCCTCCATATTTAATACCTAAAAGAAGAATTAGATTATAATAAAAATTGCATGTTAATCGACAAGCTTTTGTACAGGCATTTTATTTAATCTTTTTGAATTCTCTTTTATTTTTTAACCGAACATAAATCTACATATTCGATATATGCGGTAAACCCAGATTAAATGGATTAATTAATTTTGTTAGTACCTACTACAAGTGTACTTCTTTATAAGTTTAAACTGGGTTTGTTCTTAGCCATTTACTTACTAAGTATTTAACAAGAACTCATGAATATCTTATGTCGCTTTTGTGCCATTTTATTGTGTTCAGTGCATATTTAAATTAAGAGTTTTTTCCACTTTATTCTATTAACAATCGTTAATTAATTAACTATATTAAGTTTATGAATAATCGAGAAATGATGAATTTAATTTCCATTGAATTTTCCGCAAACCATGACATTCGTATTCTTGAGTAAAGCGGTAAAAGCACAATATGCCTTTGAAAAAAATATATCATTAATTAAAACATATTTTACCGGTCGTTCTGTTTGTTTTTTCAAACTTTCACCGAATGAAAAATCAACAAGGGAATTACAAACAGAACGACAAGTTTGTATAATCATTTTTTCATTCGATAATTATGCGGTTTTCGATTTATTTTTCGACCATCTGTAGATATAAAACACCCCGTTCACATTGTCAGAAGCTTTTTTACCCTCTGAGAGAAAATACCGCCGTATATCACGGTAGCAAAATAAGGAATTATATTAAATAATATGTGTGTATTTGTATATTCGTGAGCTTTGAAAAAGTGTTCCTACTGAAGCACTTGTTTTTCTTTGTGCGAATTTCGTTGAATCACTAGTGCTTAAAAGAAGTTTTCGTAACTCGGAATTTTGAAATCAATTTCAACATTTTTTATACTCCCAATTTCGACTATTTCTATTGCTAGCTAAATACAAAAATTAGTTACTCATTTTGATGTGATTTACAATCCACTACACATAATGAGATGAAACATTAATTGATGTATTTGAAATTGAGTCTACAAAAAATGATTGATAGATAGGAAAATGTTACAATTCCAAGACTTCGTAACAATAAACTTGTTGCACATAACCATTAAGATTGCAAATAATGTTTGAGCACTAGAGTTGAAAAGCGTTTTTCATTTTTTCTTAGTGGGTAAGTCATCAATGTTCGAGATGAGCTTTTCAATTAAAACAGCTTTCAATCGTTTCCGTACATATTCTACTTTGATTTGTTTATAAACGTTCTAAAATCACTAGCTGTGGCTAGGTAATAGAAAGCGTGTTTGATGTGCATATTTAGTATTTTCCCAAAAATTTTCATAAAAAGAATGTGTAAAATATTTTTACCCAATATCATGTAAAACTAACTGAATTTATTATTTCGTTTTTTTTATTTTTTTTTAATAAAATGCTGTGTTATTTCTATTAGTACCTTTTACCTACCTAATCTTAATAGATTAGTTCGTTTAGAATAGTTATTATATGTTTTGTGGCCATGTAATTTTAAATTTAATGTAATAAAAACTAACTTATTATTTTATTGTGTCTTTTTACTCCTACCTTCCTGATCCTTATTATAGTTAATGTTGTTGCTTGGATACAAAATTGATTTTGTTGACATGACTTGATGAAATAATAGAGTTTTGGTAAGAGCATCTCCCATTGATTTATCGCCTCGTACAGTGGAATAAAAAAAACAATCTAAACGAGAGAGCTATTTTTAAACGCGTGACCATCGTGACCACCTATCTGCCAATTTAAATTGTTAGTATTATCTGTAAGTAATCGACGATCACGAGCTCGAAAATAAATGTGTGCATCCTCTAAAAGACTCGTTAATTCAGCAAAATTAATTGCGATAGTTAATTTTCGCCTTTAAATACATAGTAATGGAGTAGAAAGGAAATGCAATACACAAGATTCCATTATATCGATTTTGCATAGGCATTTCAGCGACGCGTTAAAACCACTTAAAACGTGAATCAGTGTCTTTCTACGTACGAGTACGCGAAAATTAGGCCACTGGAAACGAGTCTCGATGTCGGAGCCGAGCAGGCAGAGCTCTTGGTCTTGGTGTCGACGTGCAGCGTCTCCTTGACTTTGCTTCGCTTTGCCGATTCCGAATGTCTTTCAGGTAACACACAGTCATTGACCCGCCAATGCTGAGACCCACGGACTCGCTGTCCGCCATCGAAGGAAAACGCCGAGTCCTGGGGAAGATAGGCGCATGTTTATACAAGCCTCGTTCTACTTATTCGTTAGGTACGCTGGAAAACAGAGGTTTTTTTTTGGAGTTTTGTAGCTGGCCCTAAATGATTATGGCGGGTTAAATCCGAAACCAAAATATTTTAATAAACAAAGTTTGGAATTCGGACCCTGTTGTTAACTTCGAAGAGCTTCTCAAAGTAGTTCAATTAGGTTTATTTCACAAAATTGGCACGATAAAAATACACAAATTGAAGAATTGTACAAAAAGTATTGGAGTCGTTCATACATTTTCCCGTTGATGTTAATCTTGATAAATTGCAGATATTTGCTTGATTGAAAGTGTAAACTAATTGTAAGTAGTGCGAAATGGGGGTACCTGTATCTCAAAAACTAGAGCTGCTATTTCAAAAATGAGGGTAGATTTGAAATCAAATTAGTAAGAAACCGTGGTAAATGAAAATAATATATTAAGGAAGTTCACAAATATTGAGATTAATTTAAAAGTTGCAGGTTTTTTGATCGCTAAATTTACTATGAGTTGTAGAGATATTGGCAAAAAATCCACTCAGATATGAGAGAAAACATTTAATTTCGCATATTTAAAAATTTGATGATCAAAATGTCAGTAACTTTTAAAATAATCGCAAAATTTGCGAACTTCCTTAACTTTTGTGGACCAGTTTATTTAATTATCAATTCATTTAAAACGATGAAATAACAGTATGAAGAGAGTGAAGAAATTTGATGCATAATTGTTTGAGGGAGTTACTGTTTTATTTGCAAGCATTTACTACTTATTTTGATGAAGAATTTCATTGTTTAGTGGTGTCTTTTGAAATCACTTCCTTCATTTTTGTTTGATTAAGATTTTTGATAATCAAGCAAAGAGAGTAATAGCCAGGAAATGCACATAAATAAATAGCTATACTTTTTGCACAATAACAGCCCCTCTATACGCTCTAAAAAAATCCAGTATTCGTGGAATATTTCGGAAGTTTACCTGCGTTTCGACACTTTCCGAGTATTCGACTATCGTTACATTATTTAGTTGCGTTAGTGTTGGACAATATTTTGTGTTCGGTTGTCAACGGTTCCACAAACGGGTCGTAAATCTTAATATTTTCGGCGAGAATTACGTCAAGTTACGTTCTTCGAGAAAATTGAAAGTTATGGCGCTGTATAGGGTTGGGTAGCGGCCGTTGTTGAGCCATAAATGCCCGTGTAACAAGCGTAAAGTCAAAGAAATATTTCATTTCACTTTCGTTTGCCGAATTTAAAGGGTTTAAAAAGTGGAGAAAATGCAGATTTTTTTGAGCGATATCTAAGCGGGAATATATTTTAAAACTCGACGAAATTGTTCGCATTCCCACGGTGTTCATTTAGCGAGGGTGTACTATAAACGAAATCCAGGTAGAGGAATATCGAAACGCCACTTGTGTATCTAAAGCAGCTTGAATAGATTCCATATTCTTACCTACTGGCATATCTAGTTTCGTTGTTCTCTTTTTAAAAACCAAAATATCACCTACCACGCATCATTCATAAAATTTTCTCATAAGTTATGACCTGTACGAGCCGCAGCTGTCGTGGTATTTTTTGTAATTTTCATTCTTCCACTGTATCATGCGATAACGAAATGTGTTTTAAAGTTGCGGTTATTATATTGAATTCGTATTATATTTTTTTATTAATAAAACCGCTTTCAAAAACCAAACTATTTGGTGTGTAAATGATTTCATACCAAAAACGGTAATTTTCGGTTTAAATCCTCCATAAAATTGCGAATGCGGCGCATTTTTCCATTCGCACTTGCGACGAATCAAGCCTAAGATAATAAATTTACGCCGTAAAAATCGAAGTTTATTTCCACATTGCGCGGACGTCGTAAACGTCTACAGGTGGTACGGTAAATTCTCTTAAGTACGACCATCTACTTACGACTTTTGAGACAAATGCTGCTGTACCAAAGTGCTTATTAAAAAATATTAAAGGTAACATTCGCCATCTGTTAAGTAAAGTTCCTTCACATTTGACTCTTTGGCAAAGTTAACTCCTGGTTAAAGTACTAATTTTAGTTGCTGGGACATTAAACAAAATCACACCATTCGGTAGGTAACAGAAAATTGGTACTAAAGCATAATAAAATTACCCAAATTATCAACTAAAAATAATGAAATTGCAATAATAACATTGCCTCAGAAATATTTACCAATATACTGGATTGGTCTATCCTGAATATTTTTCTGCATCTTACCTACCGATGAAATCATTTTACCTACAAAAAAAGTGTAGGTATTCATTTAAAAAATCATAAAATAAGAATACCGGAGCTAAACCAGCTCTTGATATTAATAACAACGCACCAAGGCGTAACAATAAAAAAACTAGGTTTGAAAAAAAAATCCAGCAACAAATCGAACTGACCTTGCTCAATAATATCGAACCGTATGCTCGTATAACGTAACGTTTCCGTAACATAATATACCCGAAGGCGAAAAGGCGCATGCATACACATACACATAAAGGAGTACATAACACCACTCGCCATATACGTATACAAATTTCGGTTTCGTTTTCGAACAGTAAACGGCAATTCGGTCTCATCTCGATCACCTGAAAAGCGATATTATTGTGGCTAATGAATCGATTTATTTCGCGTATGTTGAGCCACTTTTACGTTGCGTAATCGGTTATGCGTACTTTTTTTTATTTTCGTTAACTAGTCCATATAAATTGTCGTTGAAGCTATTAACTATATTTTATAAGATTTTATTGGAGTTGAATAATTAAAATTTAATATACTTCAACCGTTCTGGACTATCTATCAAGGATGATTAAATCGGAATTTATAAGTTAAAGGTGCCGCAGAATGATTTCTCTACTTAATTATTACTATCCCTCTTCAAGGTTTTTTTTTTATAGAAAAAAGGAAGCAGATGTTACCGAACACAAGGCCTCTGGGGTTGTCATTTTTATTCGGTGTAAATTAATAATTCCCCAATTAACGAAAATTTATATCGATGAGTATTTACGAAATTTTGAAAATGCTTAAACCCCGTAGGATCGTCGAATGAAAATTCGTTTCGAGTGGGCGCATTCCAACGGTTTTTTTGTTATTTGTTAATCCGGATTTGGACCTGCTGAACACGATACATTTCATTCGACATCGCGGAGGTCGTGGATCCTTAATGCAAATTATAATTATAAATTCAATGACCTATTGTCCTTCGAGCGAACGCCGTTACTCCGAAAGGAACATTTCCCAAAAATTCGTACCAAAGCACTACAATCTTACGTGATATAGTATAACCGCTTGGATCAAAGCAGAAAAGCCTCCCAATTAGGGATGCATCAAGTTTTTGGGTTCAAAATGTTCGAATTGAATAAAAGAAACAACGAATTTGCTGTAATAAATACACTAGGAAAAAAAGGTGGAGGCTCCTCGTTTTTTCCAATAGCAATTCCGCACGCATCCTTTTCGTAGATCGTGGAATTCCAGCGGTCGGCGTCCGCGCATTTTCCGCGTCCTAGTTTCTTCGGCGACGGCTAGATGAGAAGAAGAGGTCGAAGAAAAAGAAGACGAAGCACGGGCAACCAACTTGACCGAAGAGGAGCTAGGTTATTGGCCTCTCTTTCTCTCGCCGCGCAGCAACGACTCACTTCCCGGTTTCGCTCAAAAGTTCAAACCAACGCACGCGGATTCGCCACGCCGTGGACAAATAACTTGTCTATTAATTACAGTGGCGTGCAGCCACGCAACATTGTTCTATCTATCAGTATGATCAAAAGAAAATGCAGAGAAAAGAACTGATAGAAGAAGAACTGAAACGTGGAGAATAAAGAGATACTTCTGCTATAAGCAAACAACAGCAATTTTGGTACAATGTATGTTAGTGAAGGTGGAAAGCAAATTAATAAGGGTACACTCAGTTTTCTCGAATTTCGATTTCGTTGTCGGATCGAATAATTTATCGAGTTTTATTGGAATAAGAAGTCGGTGCATCGAAAACATTCCTCGCGTGCTTCGATGTTGCAGTTCCGTTATTCGCTTAAAACCCAGTCGGAAATTGGGACAGTGCCAGTGTAACTTCACATACAAGGCCTTCTCTCCGGCGATTCTCGATTTCTTCGCTTTTATTTCTTCTTGCGCCGCTGCAGAACCAGATTTGATTTTTACCTCGCCAGCAAGACCGTACCAAAAATATTACCCTCTCACAATTACCGCATTTTTATTACGTTTAAC